ATAATATAAATCAGTGGTTCTCAACCTTCCTAATGCCGTGACCCTTTAATAAAGTTCCTATGTTGTGGCGACCCCCCAGCCACAAAATTATTTTTTTTCGTTGCTACTTCATGACTGTTATATCTCTTATCAGATGGTCTTAGGTGACCCCTGGGAAAGGGTGGTGCCACCCCCAAATGGGGTTGCGACACGCATGTTGAGAACCGCTTATTTAAAGGATTTTTAAAAGTAAGAGATTGAAATGTGTGATTTCCACTTCGAGGGGCTGTCATGGCGACCACCCTTGTAGACCTGACTACAAGTACAGTTTTACAGTCGAAATTCGACTATGACCACCTCAGCCATCGTACATGCTAATTGTGAGCTTTGCTGTGGGTGCGCAGATGGCTCATGACGCCGATTACATGTACAGTTTCAAAAAAGAGTTCTGGGAAATAATAATTTAAATAATAATAAAATTAGGGGGAGTGGCGGCCCTGTCCAAAACCGTTGGGTAGAAGCTAACTGCTACCACTAATCGTATCCAGTAATATAAGAAGAGGAAGACGGCAAGACAGATGCGTCTCTTTCGATCGTTTGAGGAAGACGGCAAGACAGATGCGTCTCTTTCGATCGTTTATCAAATAAATCGCACACATATTGAGCTCAAAGTCAAAGAACAAAATAATGTGTACAACCTCAGCCCCGATCAGTGATGTCTGACCTCATGGTGTCTGACCACTTGACGTCTGACCTCATAATATCTGACCACTTGATGTCTGACCTCTTCATGTCTGACCTTATGATGTCTGATCTCGTGATGCATGAACTCATGATGTCTGATCTCTTGATGCCTGATCTCATGATGTCGGACCTCTTGATGCCGTATCTTCAGGTCTAATGCACTGTCATTACTGACCGTTCTTTGATTCCAAAGATGAAATATACCATCTACTTGAGCAGTAGCCGTGAGTTGAGATGTATTTTGTTTAAAGTGAGTGAGAGTTGCTCTATTTGTCAGCCGCTTCATCTCGCCCTCGCCTATTTGATCCAATGGGAAGACTTTAAGGCAACTGGAAATAGACCAGGATGCAGTAGAAGATCACCAGTGTTTTGTGTGTGTGTGTGTGTCTTTCTCTGTGCTATTCCTGAGTTCTCCGTCGCAGGAGTTGTCGGAATTTTCATTGAGTCAATGTCATACCGCCTACGGGACTCCATCTCCGGGTTTGATTTCAGAATTTGTCTTCTTTGAGACGAGTTGCCATCCAAGGTTAATGAGTGCCACCCACCTGGGGATGATGTGTTCTTTGTGTGCTTTTTCTGGGGATAGAACTACAGCCCAGAAGAGTGAGATTGACGCAGTACCACCATTTTGTACTTCAGTGAACTGCCTACTTCCATTGTTGCGTCTATAGACATTCATGAAATGTTTTTTTTATTTTTTTGTATCTCCACAAACACGGGAAGGACTTACGGGGTCGTGTAGGCAAATATTCAGGAAACTTCTTGTGTTTGTTTCTAGTGCTACAGCACTAACACCAGCTGTGTTGTGTGAAGGTTCCATCCTACAGAGACACATCAGTTAATAAATAGCACAGCGTGGTGACGAGTGTTGGGGTGGGGTTAGAGGGGGGTGGTATGGGGATGAGTGCCAGGCCATGACACTATGTGCATTGTGGCAGAATAATGAAATCCAGGTGTGTGAGTGGCCGAGATGTTGCACTGCAGCTGTAGTCATCTTGAACAATTTTTTCCGCCAGGAAGGGGAGACAACATCGGGGGGGGGGGAGTCATTAATCATTTTCTTGCTTCTCTCCCCTGTCGTATCAATCAGCACGTAATAACATCTCAAAGCATTATCTGAACTGAGTTAATTCTCTGCCTCATATTTGTAGAGCACAGAGCCATTTAGATTATTTATCTGATTATGCTGTTCCAAAGAAAAAAAAAAAAAAAGAAAGTTTTGAAATGAAGAACCCGAAAGAGCTGATTAAAGAACAAGGAATACTTATTCATTGACACACGCATGTTTAAAAATAAGAAATTCAGCTGTGTTATCTGATTATGCTGTTCCAAAGAAAAAAAAAAAAAAGAAAGTTTTGAAATGAAGAACCCGAAAGAGCTGATTAAAGAACAAGGAATACTTATTCATTGACACACGCATGTTTAAAAATAAGAAATTCAGCTGTGCAGCACAGAGAACAGACAGACTTAACATGAGATCAACCGCAATCAAGTTATTTTTCTTTGTGGGTTGATTTTCAGAACATCTTCCACAGCTGTGACAAAATTCATGACCGATGAAAAAAACCAAAACAAACAAACACAAAAACAAAACAAGAACAGCAAACATGCGAACAAATAAACGCACAAAAAGCCTTTGAGCCGCACATGCATTTGTCACAGTAACTGTTTAAACATTTATGTTTTCATGTATTCAGACGATTTTCCGGTCTGTTTGGTAATGTTATACACACGTGCATTCAGACACAGTGATTTCCCAAACAGAGCTCTCGTTGAGCTCCCGGTCGGCACCGCAGACGTGTTCGGTGCATGTTTGCGGCAACCTATTATTTGATGCACGTTTGGAATGACACACCGTCACGTCTGAACGCTTACGTCACTCTCTTTTGTTGTTGTTATGAGTCTATTCTCTGTCGTTAGCTGTGTGCAGAATTTGACCTTTGACCGGTCGCTCTTCGATTTGTTGTTTGAAATGTCTCCCGTACATGAATGCTTCCCCCCCCCCCTTTTCTCTCTCTCTCTCTCTCTCTCTCTCTCTCTCTCTCTGACAGTGTATTGCTTTCTAATCAAAGATGGCGTTCAGTCTCTCACTTCCTCCGACTTTTTTTGTTGTTTGAAATGTCTCCCCTACCTGAATGCTTCCCCCCCCCCCTTTTCTCTCTCTCTCTCTCTCTCTCTCTCTCTCTCTCTCTGACAGTGTATTGCTTTCTAATCAAAGATGGCGTTCAGTCTCTCACTTCCTCCGACTTTCACAAACCATATTCATACTTATATATGATTTTTTTATCTTAGTTAAACAAAATAAGTACCATAAGTAATACCGTTTATCCAACCCCCCCCCTCTCCCCAACCACAAAAAAAAAACAAAAATAAAACAAAATATAGATATATTTTTTTGGGGTTTGGAAAATTCCCTGAATGTGTGTCGCAAAATTGAATTGAAAAACCAGACTGCTTTGAGAACCCATGAAAGCCACAGGCCAAAGGAATCAGTGAATGTATTTGTCGAAAGTTTCAGTTAACACGACACCCCCCCCCCTTAAAAAAACAAACAAACAACAAACAAACAAACAAAAAAAACACCAAAACAAACAGGTATTTTAAAAAAGAAAGGAAAACCAAGAGCTCCTCCATCTGATTGTACTGAGCTCTCGGAGTCAACTTGATTGTGTTAGTTCCCACCAGGTGGCGTCCTCCATCACTTGGGTTATCTGCGCTGCATCTTAGCTTTGGCACATGTATCAATGTGAACCTGTGGTGAGCTCCGAGGCGCATTTAGAACGATGTCAACAAAATAAAGAGCCGTGTGGTTATTGAAAAGAGTTCAAGGCAAAGCAACATTTTTTGCGGGGGAAAGTGTTATCCTCAGTCAGTGGTTCTCAACCTGCCTAATGCCGCGACCCATTAATACAGCTCCACATGTCGTGGTGACACCCCAAGCATAAAAATTATTTTCGTTAGCACTCCATAACTGTAGATTATACATGTTTTCCGATGGTCTTAGGCGACCCCTGTGTTGGGGTCGCTACCCACAGGTTGAGAACCGCTGTCCAAAGTGTTATATTTAACGCCATTCATAATGTATTTATACACAAGCTAATTCATTGCGTGAACGTAGCAGTAAATTGTAAGTCATTTTTAAAAGATAAAGGCTGTGAATGGAGACTACCCCAATCTCGTCCGAGAGCAGGCTCCGCCTCTGAGCTCAAGGTCAGACTTAAAAATAGCTCCGTCGTATCTTGGCAATCCAGGTGAGGGAATCATAAATGAAGACACGAGTCAGCTTGAGATGGCTATTTCAGCTCTATTCCACCGTCTTAATCTCAACCAGATATAAGTATTCTGAGTGAGACAGACAGCCGGGTGTGCGGCTTTGTCCCGTCTGAACGAATGCACGAAACATCAAACACGCGATGTGAACCTATCGAGCTGAGAAATCTCCTCGGAAATTTTATGGTATGTTATCTTATATCACGATATGATCAGCAGTTTACCGAAAAGTGGTTTTTAAATACTTTCTATTAACTTCGCTTTTGCACGTGAGGTGGCCCGGCTGGAGGATTGTCTAGCTTGCAAAAACTTCGGTCGGATAATTGAACAACATCCCGTCAACCTATCGAGCCGAAACTTGGCAAATGGAATCGTTGCCAAAGACAACACATTCTTTTAAATTTTCAACACTATCCCCTAAATACAGCCCCACTTCTTCAGAAAAATTAGTTGTTTTTTTTCTTCTGTTTTTTTTAAGAGGAAGATAAAATAAAATTATGAGATTAAAAAAAAATAAATAAATACATATATATATATATAGAGATATCGCACGTGCGTTTGGTGCGTAATATTTTCTTTTGTTTTTTTCTTAAAAAAATGTAGGCGAAATAATTCTGCTGAGTAAAAGTGGGTGGGTCATTAGAATATGAATATAGTTCCAGGGGCGTGAAGAAAATGTGCGGTTGCGAGCCTTGGGGGAGCCCTACCTGGTATTCTTATAAAGTGTGTTCCTTGTATGCATGTTTGGTCAAGTTTTCAGACCCCTCCACACATCGCTCGATAATACATTTCATAAATGATTTCAGCAAAAAGCTTCGTTTTTAAGGGTTTGTATAAACGTGTTGTTTTTGTGACATGTATTTTGGTACATGTCACTGTAAGAGTAAGTGAATGTAATATGGACATTATGTTGTGAGCGAATGTAAGAGGGTACTTCAGTTTGTGGTAAACGATACATATGTGAATACGTACTAACAAACAAGAACAAAAAAAAACAAAAAACAACAAACAATGCAGCAGTTTAATGAGATAAAACATTTGATTATTGCAATCATAATTGTGAGATACTTGACAAAAATCACCTCAACATGATTGGACACGCCGATGGCTTTTTGAAATGTATCCATGGTAACAAAGGTATATCTGAGGTCATGAACGATTATAGGGGAAGATTGCTGTGTGACAACGTGGAGCGTTTTTGTGACATCATGATGTGTGTTTTGTGTTTGTGACTTCGTGAAGTGTGTTTGTGACATCGTGAAGCGTGTTTGGACCATCGTGATGTGTGTTTGTAACATCGTCAATGGTGTTTCTGACATCGTGAAGCGTGTTTGGAACATCGTGATGTGTGCTAGTTATAGAAATTGAGCTTGGTGGTGGTGGTTTAGTACATGTGATCGTGCGTGTGTTTGGTGACAGATTGCTACGACCCGTGGAGCGATCGAAAATAAAATAAGTATAATTTATCAGTAAAATTTTGTTTCGAAACATCTTGTATTGAAACATTGGTTGGAATGATGCGTCTACCATCAATAAAACAATCAGGAAATGTCACATCATGAAATCACAGAAAGCAGCTTTAGAGACACAATAATTTGTATGACCTAAAAAAAACAAAAACAAATACAAAAAAATAATGTGTCTGTTTATACATTATAAAAAAAAGTATATTTGTTGAATTGTATTCAAGACCATGTAAAACAAAATATACTTGTGCAATAGAATTCTATGAACGCTATTCAAATTTTTAATGTCTATTTCTAAAATAGAATACAATTATTAGGCGATTGTAGATTAAACCAATAGTTATAAAAATGAGAAAAAAAAGGTCGCACAAGCCAGGGATTAGCAACTTTAAAAAAAAAAAGTTAGTGTTGACGAGCCATTTTTACGAATTATAACCGTTGAATATGAATATAATGAGCTACATCTCATTATTGATTAGTAACAACAACAACAAAAACCACAAAAGAGTAGCCGCACTGACTCCGTCAGAGTCGAAGAATGCGGCTTCAGAGCCGAACGTTGCCGATCTCAGACCTAAGCTGTTCCGGCAGTTGCAGTTGTAGTTTTGCACGTTTTTTTTGTTGTTATAAGGTCTTGGAAATCCGAGTCATTAGATAAGGTCTTGAAAATCCGAGTCATTAGATAAGGTCTTGGAATCTGTGTCATTAGATACGTGTCATGGAAGATTTGAAATTAATGTATCAAATATACAAATACTGCTGGTCGTCTACGGCATACTGGTCTATTTCCAGCCACCTTGACCATATTCTTGCCGTTGGATCCAATAGGCAAAGATGAGAGAGTGAGGCTGGCGAATGGAGCAGCTCTCCCTCATTTTTAAACAATGTGCAGCTCAGGTCAAGGCTACCGCTCACAGTCTAGCCTTGGTCATCTTCGCAGGCGAACGACGAACACTGTGAGTCAATGATGAGCTATGTCGTCATCCATTGCCGTGTGCCGCGATAACTATTTTCCTATTGTTTATTTAGCCAGCAAAGTTAACGTTGACTTCTATGGGGGAAAAAAGAGTTACAATAAAGTTACCCGGCGAGATTTTATAATGCCGCAGTCACGTGCCCGTCAGAAGTGAGTCACGTGTTCATCCTCCTGACGCTTGGCAGGGTCAAGAACTGACTTTGACTCTTAGAACTAAAGCGTCACGCCAGACAGTGACCAGTGGTGACGTAAACAAGCTCTTCTAAAGAACTGTTAAGTAGGTGAGTTGATTGTAAAAAAATATACACATTATCTTTATTCAGTTTTAAATAGACAGATTAACCTACAATATGTTTGGACCCTGTTTCCGTTTAAGTGTCAGTCAAACGTGAATCAAGTATAAATATTTATATAAGTCATATTTATTTTTTGTGTAAATAAGTCTGAAATATGTAAGTAATTATTTACACATTTTTTGTTTCAAAGTCATGTACTTTGTAGCTCAGTTATACATATTATGTCATGTAGATTTAGGTTATTTATAATTCATACATAATACAATAACTCATGTATAATAACTCATGTATAATGACCCACTTACATTAATTACCATTCATAGAATCATGTTCGCTTTTCTTTTTTTTTTTTATATTGAACCATCATTATGGAATCAGTTAATAAACATCCTGGAAATATCCCCTTTGGCCGAATGACAAACATGACATTGGATAGATTTATGAACCAGTTATGTCCGCCCTAATTATCAAATGTCCAATAGTTTTTGTCCACCTTTCATTACCCAGGTGATATAATATTTTGTCGAATGCCTTGTCAACGTTAAATGATTCGCCTGCAACGGCATCCAGTCCCTGTCAACGTCATGCTGGATATTTGGATGCAAAATAAATCCTTCATTCGACATCCATTAAAACCTATAAAGCAACGATGATCTGTTGGGTAAAAGACTAATTATAATCGACAGAAATAACATACTTGAGAGTCTTACAGTCTTTCCACACATTTTGAGATAGGCTATTAAAAGAACACATAATATAATGCCTTAATGAGAGTAATTAACATTTAGATAGTATTGGATCAGAGCTAAAAATTCGTAAAAACGTATAGCTAATGCCAAGAGATTAAAAAAAAAAAATCAGAAAACATTACGGTTGCATGAAATATCAGACGGGAAAATGCCACCATTTAAAATTAGGTGTGTCTAACATAAAACAATGAAGAAGTAAGCGTGAGAAATGTCGACGCTGGATTTTCGGTTATTTCTTCTTGTATATTATAATAAGGGCCCACGATCAATGTATTGATCACTCTGGCTCCTATGCATGTAGAAGGAGTTCGCAATGTTTTCTGTGCCTGGTGTTGAAAAGGATATTTCACTGGTTGCAAGGGCTACTCAGCGAGGGTATCAAGAACTGGGGGTTGGAAGGCCTGAGGCGATAGACGCAAATGTGTCAAGTGTTGTCGCCTCAACTGTTTCTTTCGGAAGCTTGCTCCAGTCCCCGATGGTCTTTGGCAGGAATTCAAAAACGGTCCTGATTAATTTCATACAACACATGTTACCTCATATCTGATCACGTCATCGTCATTGATATAATTTTTTTGTCAACCAGGCGCTGAGGTCACGTGCTCGTCACGTGGCACCATTAAAACATTATATAACCGGGATTAACTCAGGGAAACTGATCACCATGAAATATTGAGACATGGAACATTATAGATTCACTGGGCTAGTTGTTCAACCACTGAAGTACACACAGCACAGTAAAAATGACAGTACGTTATAGCAATCACGGACAGTTCTTCTTTTTTTCACATCAAAATCTCCCTATTACATCATATTTTGCCAATTACATCATATTTTCATTTCAGTCAAAATACAATCATACAATCCCATTCATCCGATCCCATTAAATTCCCCACAGTCAAAGCACATTCTTCCAATCCTAGCAGATTCAGCCCACACCAATTACAACCATCAGATATAAGCATGGGCGTTTCCAGCTCTTTATTTAAAAGGGCGTCGACCCGTCTGGTAATTTCTCGTTCGTTCCAATTTGGTGACTGTCCGGTCCGTCGTTCGGATTTTTCAGGCCGAACGAGTTGTATCCGGGTGTGGACGGATCCGATTTGGACACGTCGTAGGTCACAGTGACCTCGGCCTTCTCAAAAGTCGACGGGTCCTGGTAGGTGTAGTAGTGGGACACCACGCAGAAGATGAAGAAGTTGAGCATCATCAGGCCGGCGAACAGAAACATGAGGTACTCCATCTTGGTCTCGTTGATCTCATCGCCCCACCACGGATCTGTGGACGGGAGGAAACGGCGAAACATGTACAGCCTGAAAGTCCAAATGTTCTATTAACAGATTTCCACCATTACAATGATTAACCCCCATTGAAATGAACAAAAGAAATGTAACATTGACATTGGAAACAATGGGTAATCACACATGTTTTTTTCCAACAGGTTATAACTCAGGTGAGTTCAAAAAAATTACGAGGAAGTGAAATTTAATTTTAAAGGCATGACGCCCGTAAGAATATCACTTGAGATCCTTCCCCCACCCCACCCCCCCCCCAAACCAAACTAAACACATCACTTACTAATCTAGCATACGCCACTACGTTTGTTTCACATATTGAGGACCACTTCAAGACATCAGAAACCAATCAACTACTCGAAGTCATCACGAAGAAAACAAAATTTGAGGAAATTCTTAATGCTAACCTCCTTCTGTCGCCGCCTTGACGATGGCCAAGATGGCCGTGGAGACCCAGTTCCCAATGCCGGAAGCGGCCAGAAAAAGTC